ATAACCTAAATAAGGCAATTCCTTCAAAGACACAATCCACCAAACTCAAATGAGAAATAGATCATTTAAATATGTCTGTATCAAAGAAATTGCTTACAAAGGCACCTGGGTGGCTCAGTCAGTTAAGCGTCTAACTCTTGATTGTGGCTCAAGTTTTTATTTCAGGGCTGTGGGATGTAGCCCTGCTTCACATCCTCATGTGCTCTCTCCCTCATAAATCTTTTTTTAAAAAATGCATATGTAATTAAAAATCTTCCAAATCAGAAAGCACTAGACTTAGATGGATTCACTGGTGAATTCTCCCAAAGGAAAAAAAGTTATACCAGTTATATATGTTCCAGAAAAGACAAGCAAAAAGAACATTTCCTACCTTGTTCAATGAGACCAGCAAAGACAACACAAGAAAGGAGAACTACAAATCAGTATCTCTCGTCAAAAATTCTTAACAAATTAGCAAATCTAATCTCATGGAAACATTATATATATATATATGTGTATATATATAATAAACAGCACAACCAAGTGGGAATTATTCAAGTATGTCAGACTGGTTTTATATTTGAAATTCAATTAGTGTAATCCATCACATCAGCAGAGTAAAGCAGAGTAAAGCAGAAAAATTAAATGATCATGTCAATAGATGCAGAAAAAGCATTTGACAAAATATAACCTCCATTTGTGATAAAATAGCTCAGTAAACTAAGAATTGAGGTGAATATCCCTAACGTGATAAAGAATATCTTGCTTCCGCAGCACATACTAAAATTGAAATGATAAACATAAGATTAGCATGGCCCCTACATAACGATGACACATGAATTTGTGATAGATTCCATATTTTTATGGTTATATAGTTAATACTAAATTATATATTTGAAATTTGCTATGAGACTAGATTTTAAGCAATTATCATACACAAAGTAAATGTGTGGTGTTGGATAGATTAAGTTGTGGGCATCCTTTCACAATGTATACAAATATCAAATCATCATGTTGTACACTTTAAATATATTTCAACTGTATTTGTCAATTATGCTTCAATAAAGGTGTAAAAAATATCTTCAGAAAACCTATAGCTTACATCATTCATAACTGTCAGAAGCTAGCAGGAATACAGCAAGGTTGTCTGCTCTCAGTACTCCTATTCAACATCATCCTGGAAGTCATAGCTAATATAGTAAAGCAAGAGAGGAAAACAGAACAGATTGGGAGGGAAGCAATAAAATTGTGTGCTTTGCAGATGACATGATTGTCTATATAGGAAATCTCAATGATATAACATGAAAACTCTTGGAATTAAAGTTATAACAGTTGTCAGACACAAGGTTTATACATAAAAGTCATTTGCTTCATTATATACAGTCAACGAAAAATTGGAATTTGAAATTTAGGACACAATACCATTTTCATTAATAGCAGAGAGAGAAAGAACTACTTAAGTATAAATCTAACAAATAAATACAAGGTCTACATGAGGAAAAAATACAAACTCTGGTAAAGAATCAAAGATCTAAATATATAGAGAAATATTCCATGTTTGTGGACAAGAAGGATCAGTATTTTGAAGATGTCAGTTCTTCCCAATTTGATGTATATATACAGTGTAATTCCATTCAGAGTTCTAGCACATAATTTTGTAAGATACTGATTCTAAAGTTTATATAGAGAGGCAAAAGACCCAAAATAGCCAACACAATGTATACAACACAAAGTATAAAAAAACAAAGCTGGAGGAATTATACTATCTTTTTTAAGACTTACTATGAAGCTGTAGTTACCAAGACAGTGTGATATTGATAAAATAATAGAGAAATGGATAAATGGACTAGAACAGAAAACTCAGAAATAGACGGACACAAATAAGATCAACTGATATTTGACAAAGGAATAAAGGCAATTCAACACAGAAAGGATTATCTTTTCAACAAATGGTATTTCATATTAGAAAAAATCTAGACACAGAGCTCAAACCTCTCATGAAAATTAATTCAAAGTGGATTATAGACCTAAAAGTAAAGTGTAAAACTATAAAACTCCTAGAAGGCAAAATAGGAGAACATTTAGGTAACTTTGGGTTTGGTGATGAGTTTTCAGACACAATACTAGAAACTTGAGTTGTGAATGAAAAAATTGATGAGTTGCACTTCATTAAAATTAAAACTTTCACTCTACATTGGATACTATTAAGAAAACTAAAAGAAAGATAAGCCACAGAGTGGGAGAAAATATTTGCAAATGCATATCTGTGTCCAAACAAAAAAAAATGCTTAAAACTTAATTAAAAAACACAACCCAAGTAGAAAACATACAGAAGATGTGAACAGATACCTATTGAAGAACATACACAAGTGGCAAATAAGTATAAAAAATATTCCATATCATATGTTATCAGGAAAATGCAAATTGAGATGACATTGAGTTGAAATGAAATACCACTGCTTAACTATTATAGTAACTAAAATCTAAAACACTGACAACACTGAATGCTGTTGAGGATAAAGAAGAATGGGGACTGTCCTTTGTTGATGGAAGACAAGTTGGCAGTTTTTTCACAAAACTAAACATACTCATAGCAAAGGATCCAATAGGAGAGAAAATGAGTGGGAAATATCAGAGAGGGAGACAGAACATGAGAGACTCTTAATTCTGAGAAATGAACAAGGGGTGGTGGAAAGGGAGGTGGGCAGGGGGTTGGGGTGACTGGGTGACAGGCACTGAGGGGGGGCACTGGATGGGATGAGCACTGGGTGTTATATGCTGGCAAATTGAACTCCAATAAAAAATATACAAAAAAAAACAATAGTTGTGTTCCTTGGTGTGTGTGTGTGTGTGTGTGTGTGTGTGTGTATATATATATATATGAGTTGAAAACATGTTTACACAGAAGCATGCACTCTGTTGCTATAGGATCTTTATTCATAATTGCCAAACTTAGAAGAAACCAAGAAACCTCATAGGTGAATGGATAAACATACTGTGGTACATCTATACAAAGGAATATTATTCAGTGATAAAAAGAAATGAGCGATCAAGCCACAAAAAACATACAGAAGAGCCTTAAATGTGTATTGCTAAGTGAAGAAGCTAACCTAGGAAGGCTACAGACTATGTAATTCTAACTCTGGAAAAGAGAAAAAAACTCTGGAAAAGAGAAAACAGTGGATGTAGTAAAAAGATCAATGGTTGCCAGATGTTTGGTGGGCAAGAGTGAGAGGAAAAGGTGGAGAGGTGGAGCAAAGAGGATTTTAGAGCAGAGAACAATCCTATACAATCCTGACTGTAGTGATGGACATATCGTTATACCTTTGTCAGAGCCCATGGAATGCACAAGGGGAAGAATAAACCCTAATGTAAACCATGGACTTTAGTTAATAATAATGTGTCAGTCATTGGCTCATTCATTAATTGTAACAAACGTACTGCACTAATGCAAGGTGTTAATAATTAACAAGTCACAGGTGCTGGGGAGGATGAGGGCATATATGGAACTCTGTAATTCTTCTCAACTTCCTTTAAGCTCAAAATTGCTCTGAAAAATAAAGTCCATTATTATTATTATTATTTAAGTGGATACAAGAACAAGCAACCCCTTAAGAATTTTGTCTCTACTTAGGCCTGCTGAGGGCTACAGCCAGGCTGTCTTATTTACCACATATCTGTATTTACTGATGATCCATTTGATGAAATAATGTTCTTTGTGAACAGGAGTAGGCAAAAAGTCATTAGTCGGCATGAATGGGATCTCCTAACTGTTCTTTGTAATTCACTCTGGCTACTTCTGTTTGTTAACTCTATTCAAGGGCGTAATGCATGAGTGTTCCTTGCTTTGAAGAATTCAGTGGCTATAGGGGATAAAGGTAACTAATATGTATACTGATTCCACAGGTTCACCAGACAATAAGCTCTTAAATCGGAAAGCTTCATGAAAGAAGCCTCATGTGCTACTGACTCACAATTGATGATTTAAAACCATATGTCTCCGTAACAATACTAAACTCCCATAGGAGGGAAAAGAATACCTTTAATTAGAAAATATTTTTATGTATATTAGAAAATACACACAGATTTTTTTCATTCTTTCCTAGTAAAAGCAATGCAGGGGATAGTAGCTATGATGAATTTTGACGATGTCTGCAGAACAAAATCCATTTGTGTGTAAATGGAGAGATCTGCAGTTGAGGAGAATAGAAGTTACCGCTCAGAAAAAAAAAAATAAATAAAAAGCATGGTGACTTTCAGAATTAGATTTCACTTACTGTGACTGCCATTTATTACTGCTCTGGTCAGTGTGGGAATCAGAGCAACTGCAAAGCAGATATACTATCAGTCGGCCTCCAAAACCCTGTGTCTCTGCTCTCTACACAGCATACAAAATATTTTACTTACCTGAAACTGAAGAAGTTTGAGCAAATTAGAAAAGAAAAGGAATATACCTTCAGACTCAGCAGAGATATTTGATCACTTTAGGCGAAAGTCACATACCCAGGTGAATTTTGTGAATCATAGAATCATAGTGACAGTCTTCCTTTTCCTTTTCCTTTTCTTTCTCTTTCTTTCTCTTTCTCTTTCTCTTTCTTTCTCTTTCTCTTCTCTTTCTCTTCCTCTTTCTTTCTTTCTTTCTTTCTTTCTTTCTTTCTTCTTTCTCTTTCTTTCTTTCTTTCTCTTTCTTTCTTTCTTTCTCTCTCTCTTTCTTTCTTTCTCTTTCTTTCTTTTTTTCTCTTTCTTTCTTTCTCTTTCTCTTTCTTCTTTCTTCTTTCTTTCTTTCTCTTTCTTCTTTCTTTCTTTCTTTCTTTCTTTCTTTCTTTCTTTCTTTCTTTCCTTCTTCTTTTTGGTTCAAAAGAATTAAACATTATCGATATGTGACTCCACAGAAAGAAAATGAGTTGTGTTTAATTGTGTGTGGGTGGGCGGCATGAAATTCGCACATAGTTTAAATATATTCTTCCTCATGCTGTGACACTTAACATTGTACTGAAAGAGTTGTATTCATCTGTTTCAAGGGAGCGGCCAGCACTTCCTATATGTCAACTCATCTGGACTCAAAGAAGGACACAAGGCAAGAGTCACTACTTCCCAGTACTTTCCAGCAAGTCTCAGAATATGTACTGTTCGGTTCTGGTTCTACACGGTTGATCCCAAGAGTATGGGGATATTAAAGGTACAAAAGGAAGGCAGAGATTCATGTTTCGCTGAAATATTCATAGCATATGTTTAAACATTCTTTTTTAAAATCACACCGATGTCAATTCCATTAATTTATCATTTCTTTCTGGGACAGTGGGACTTTGGCCAGCAGAGCTGTCATTCATCTTAATCTCATTCAAGATTTATCTCGTTCATGGCTGCCACCTGACCTCAATTATGGTGCATACTATTTAAAAGATCATCTAGAGATAAGAGTATGGGCAGATTCTCCATGCATCCTCTACTGACAACTTAGGGAAAATGCAGATATGTGATGGGAGGGATAATGATAAAAAGAATTTTCTTCCCAAAACAAGATAAAGGCAAAGAAATTTAAGATCTTAAGTATATATCAGCTTACCCTAAAAAACAAGCCTGCTCCATTTTTGACTAATTAAGATGAGAACCTGCATCAAATGCAAACATCTTTGAAGACGCAGGTTGCTGCATTTTTACTTTTCATGGTATGAAATATCAGGCTTTTCAGTCAGCTTGAAGCACTTTTGAAATCTTGAATTCTAATTGAAAGATTATATATCAGAACACCATACCTGGTGTTAATGCTTTGTAATTGTACAACCACCTGTTGTCTGAATAAATACAACTGGAATCTTTGACTTTATCTCAAACATTGTCCCTTATAAATAATAATAGTTGTTAAGTGATTCCTATCTTTCAAGCTGAGTATTGTAAACTTTGTATCTCCCATATAATTTAATTCTCCTATTCACCTCATGAGGTAGTATATTTTCCCCAGTTGTACAGTTTAAAAACTGAGACTCATTGTGGCATAGTAACTTTTCCATGATTGCAAAAGTAACAAAAAAATCTGATTTCAAAAACCTGACATCCCTTACCCAGCATGGTTTGAAAGGTATATACCAAGGAAGTCTAAGGAGGCGTATGGGGGAAAAAAAAAAAGCCTTAAAAGTTCTAATCACTGATAGAAAAGAGAGTTATTTAAGTAAATATACAAACATGCAAAGAAAGTAGAGAATTTTTACTGATTCTCCATGCATGTCTATTTTCCTAAAGAGAAGCCAGTAAAAACAAAAGAGAAAGAGATTCATTTTTAACAGTGGAGAATTGAGTAAATGAAGATCATGTGACAACTTTGGAATTTTTGTCATTGTTTTTAGATACAGCATTTTTAAAAATTTTATCCAGGGTAACTTACAACCACTAACTTTAGGGAGATTCCACAATACATTATTTCTACACAATACGTTATTTAAACACAGATTTCTGTGATTGAAGAGGACACAAGTCAGTGGTTGTTACTTATGGAAGCAAATCCCAATGGAAAGGCCTAGAGATCTTTCAACAGAAAAGTAGATTTATGTCACTTTTTCACAAAATGTTGCTTCCTCAATTCAAAAAGAACATCCTTCTATCTTTTAGTTCTTCATCAGCTGGTTGGTCAGTGCTACAGACAGAATGTTTCCACACCCGCAGGCACATACCAAATTCATATGTGAAATCCTGAGACTGCTGCTTTAGTCACCCATTGCTTTTAGCCATGTTTCTATAGACATGGAAACTTGGAAATGAAATGTCCTCAAGTCTTGATTTTTGATATCTTGCTTTTGATGACTATTGGTTTTTCTAACCAGAAGGCAGAGGTAACTGTAGCTGTGCTTTTGCTTCCCCGAGGTCTGCTGGAAAAAATAGTGCTGGGGAATTAGTCTGACATCTGCTTTTTGTAGAAGAATCATATCCCCCACTCTAAACTGTCTTGATAGGGTTGACTGTCACTGGAAGTTCTTTTGCCAGCTCCACAGCTGACCCAAGTCATAGTCTTCTCTAATATTTGGTGCAGGTTATAAGATGATTTATCCTTCCTCTGTATTATAAATCACAAGGATATAGGCTAGACTTGGGCTCTCGGAGGCCATCTTTCCCAACGTGGGGAGATAAACCATCTGAGAAAGAAGCTGACACAAAAAGGACTCCAGCTAAAAAGAAAGAGGAAGGGACAGACTTTTATTTATTTACTCAGTTTAAATCTTGGATCCTACCTTGTCTGAGCCAGTAAAATTCTCTTTTTGTGACTCGCTACTGAAAATTTCTAACTTTTACAGAAACCCAGGAGAAACTGTTTTCATAATGTATGTCACTGATGAACATAAGGGACAAGTCTCACTTTCTCAGCTATAGGTCTGGAAAATCTGTGTGTGTGTGTCTATGTGTGTGGCTCTGGAGCACATGGTGCATCATAATTGTTCTAATCTGAAACTATTTCTTAAACCTATTATAAAAATCCTTTAGAAAAAAATATGACAAAATACCTATGGTGAAGTTTTAATAGTGGAGGGTCTAGGAAGCAATAAAAATAGCAAGGCATTTCTGAGAGAATTTCCAGATTTTAGTTTGTGGTAGGATGCTATCTTGTCAGTGCGCATTTTATGCAGCTGTATTAAGTGCTGTGCATCCCCAGCCCTTCCGTGCTTTGTTCTGTACCCCAGAGAACTGCACTACCCCGGCTCCTTTGCTCTCGGCTTTCCCAGCTAGGTTTGGCCAGTGCCTTCCCCTGGCCCAAAATCTGAGAACAGAAAGACTAGACAAGCCTATCTCTTCTCCCTCCCTCTCTCCTTCTCTCCTCTCATTTCTTTTCCTCCTCCCTCCCCCTCTTCTCTCTCAGCTGAGTTTCTAACTGCATAACCGCATTTAATTTATGACTCAGCTTTTTCTAGATAAGCGCTGCCTCCACTAAATATGCCTGCCAAACTCCATCTTCCAGCAGCTCAGTTTCAGTGACTTCCTTCCCTTTGACTCGTTTAAGAGGTGAGACCTTCTTCCTATACATAATTATTAATTTATAGGATGCTTCATGATTTCCTTGGCAATTTCTCGTCTCTTCCATAAACTTTGTGACCAGTGGTCTGTATAAAAGTTTCTCTGTTTGAAGTGCATTAGAGTAGTTTATATTTTCTAGCTTGGCCTTGTCTGATACAAGCGCCCACTCCAAAGAAAACACAAATATTTTGAAGATAATAACTTGTAACATAATGAAAAATGTTGAGTAAGCTTAAATTTGTCCTCCTTATATTAACTTATAAGAAATGTGCCCTTCAGTTGGGGAAGACAGAAAACAAATTTTTAAAAATGCAAATATGAATACCTCAGCTTGTGATATGGTACTCTAGAGCTAATAAAACAGGTTTCTGTAATAAATAGTTACTCATGGTCTGCTGAGACAGTTTCTACTGAATGGTAAGGAAGTCTTTGAGAAGGATGATATTTGAATTTAGGCTTAAAAAAACGAAGGAGCCAGCCTTGTGAACATATGGAGCAAGGATGCCCCCGGAAGGCAGAAAAAGCCAGTAAAAAAGCTCAACGTAGAAGCTACTTGAAAGCCAGTATAGCTGGAGCAAATAAGTGAAAGGAGGAGAGAGAGGAGGAGAGAGAGAGAATATGATGATGATGATAATGAAACAGGCAAGAGCCAGCTCATGTAAGCAGGGCCTTGTAGTGACACAAGGAAATTAGCTTTTATTCTAAGAACCACAGGAAGTCATTTTGGGCTGCTATAACAGATTATTGTGGCTTAAGCAATGGAATTTTACTTTACACAGTTCTAGAGGCTGAGAAGTCGAAGTTTAAGTTACTGAATTTGGTTCCTGGTGTGAATCCTCTTCCTGGTTTGCAGATGGATGCCTTCTCACTGTGTGCTCACCTACAGCAAGAGAGATGATCTCTTCTTTTTAAAAAAAATTATTTATTTATTCATGATAGAGACAGAGAGAGAGGCAGAGACACAGGCAGAGGGAGAAGCAGGTTTCATGCCAGGAGCCTGACGTGGGACTCGATCCCGGGGAATCCAGGATCACACCCTGGGCCAAAGACAGGCGCTAAACCGCTAAGCCACCCAGGAGTCCCAAGACACTCTTCTTTTAAAAACACTTCTTTTAAAGACACTCATCCCATTCATGGTGGGGTCTCTACCCTCATGACCTAAATGCTACCCAAAAACCCCACCTCTGAAAACCAAAACATTGGGACTTGGAGCTTTGGATGTGAATTGGGGTTAGGGGAACATGTTCAGTACATAGTAGAGAGTATTAAATTGTGGAATAATATTACTTCATTTGAAATTTTAAAAGATCTGTTTGGCTGCTCTATGGAAAGGAATGGGGATTGGTGGGTAGGAGGCAGCCAGAGATGACAGTGAAACAAGGAGGCAAGTAAGTGATGATTTCCACGTGTCTGGAGCAGAGAAGGTGTAGCTTTGCTTAGAGTAGAGTCTAAGGATAAATTGGAAGGCAATTTCTACAAATAATGAATAGCTGGATTTTCACCTGGCATAAAAGACTATTTTCTTTAAACATACTTTAATTTTATTAGTATATTAATGAAGGGCATCATATAAAGCCAAAGCAGACAAGACTTGCACAGTCAGTGAGATCAAGGTGAAAACCAATTATGATTTTCTTATTAGTTTTCAGGATAAAAAGCCAAACAATTCAGATTTATCCCAGCCTGCAAAGCTGGCAAAATAGCCTGCATAAAGAAGGCATGTGTTTTATAGGAACGTGGAAGCCTGATGGTAAAGGAATAATATTTAGAATAAGAAATGGATGATATTCAGAATAATAAAATGTCCACACAGGCATCAGTGTCCTTTGATTCAAAGGCTCAGGAAATAGGAGAATAATGCTAATACATACTTTATTTTCTAGGTCAGTTTTTTTTTTCTGTCTTTCCATTACCTACCTACATATAAAATTAAAAGCACTCCTTAAAATGGGGCTGGTCACTTTTTGATCCACATTGCTAAAAGAGCCCTAAGTGAACCAAATAATCTCCCACGAGATTACTTAGTTCCATTAGATCAGCTTCCTAGCTTCTGGCTGGTTTTGATATTTGGCCAACTCAGGTGAGTTATTTAATGTCTACGAAAAAGAAGTAAAGTTTGTTACAGGAAAAGAGAATTTCTTTAAAAGTGACTAATATCCTTTTATTTTATTCCAGCCT